GTTCCCTTTCCTTCTTCCACTGTTGGACGCACAACTGGTGGTTGAAAAGAGAAGCCGTGTGACAGAGAGAGCCCCCCGGGGCTGAGGGAACCACTCCCCTCCGGGGCCCCATTGCGGGCTTGGAGCCCCGCCAAATGGTGAGCTGGTTGTGCTGCTACCAGCCCGGAGGTGGAGGAGGAGGGGCAGGGGAGGGGGTGAGGGTGGAGTAAGGGGGAAGAGAGGTGGAGGAGGAAGGGGGATGGGGAGGGAAGGGGGTGAGCGTGAAGGGGGACGAGGAGGACGGGGAGGGGCATTAGAGAGGGTGGAGGGTAGGCGGGGCGTTGCGTTGGGTTCAATAGCGGATGTGTCATTTGGCGGACGGCTGTGAGGTGGTCACGTGCACGCGCAGGGAGGAGTGGGCTTTGGTAAGCGGGACAAGGGGCTGTCCAGGGTGGGGGTGGGGGTCGGGGCGGTGGTGGTGGTGGTGCCCCTGGTTGTCGAGAGTGGGGATTTCGATGCAGCCTGTTAGTGGGGGTTGGAGGGCGGCTTTTTAGTAGTCCGCGCCGCGCCAAGTAAAAAGAGCCGTTTTGCCGTTTTATGCAAGGAAAGTGCGGAAAGTGCGGCTGATGGCGGATGATATGTCGCATGATGAGTGCACCTGCAAAACGGATAAGTGAAAGGATATAGCGTTTTCTTTTCCGGCACACGAGTGTACAAAATTGTTTTTTCTCGTTCGCATCTCGCCCATTGCCCCATTCCACTTCACTTCACTCCACTTCACTCCACTCCACTCCACTCCGAGGGGAACGGCGGTTGAGAGAAAGGACCTCCGGACTTCGCGGTCGTTTGGAAGGGAGGAGGTCTGCCTTGAGCTGTCGCCCCGGGCGCCGTCGCCCCGGGCTTTTGGACGTCGTCGTCGCAGTAACAGCGGGGGTGGGGGGAGGGGGAGGGGTGCGTGAACACATACTCGCGTCATTTAGGCTGTAATGTCCACTACCCCCACTCTTGCCCCCTTTTGAGTGGTTGTTGGGTTATGCGGGCAGCTACAGTTACTGTGTCCGCACACGCACGTAGGGGGGGGTCCTCCGTCAAAGCCGGGAGGGGGGGCACCCCCCATGTACCGGGCACGGCAGTCGGGTAGGGGGGCACGGGAGGTCGTGCTGTCAGTCGCCGGGAGAGAGCGTCATTCTCACTCCACAGTAACATCATTCATTCGTACACATGCGTCCTTCGTACATTCAAACAACCTCCGTGTGCTCCGTACAATGGTACGGCAGGCTGGTCTATCGCCAGCATGAGCCTGCTCTGTGTGTCTGTGTCTGTGTATCTGTGTCTGTGTGTGTGTGTGTGTCTGTGTCTGTGTATCTGTATCTGTGTGTGTGTGTCTGTGTCTGTGTATCCCTGTGTGTGTGTCTACGTTTGTATGCAGCCTAACACATGCAGAGGCGTACGTCTACCACGTTTACAGCTTCTGCAGGTAGGAAGGATGAATGAATGAATGAATGTTGGTGCAGGAAGGCGGGATTCCAAAGAAGGCTGTGGATAAGGATAAGGGTTCGCGCCTGCGTGTGAGAGCAAGCACTTAACAGGGACCACGCTCCCTTTGGAGGCATCTCGCCCCTCGCTTCTCACATCTCGCATTCCTTACGCGGCGTCTTCAAGGCCTCTCGCATCCATCCAGCTGCAACCCCCGTCTGTGGGCGGTCTTCACAAATTTAACTAAAACAACGTTCGCAAAGAGTGCTAATTAAGAGAGTCATGTTGTAAATGTAAATGAATGACGCATCTTTTGATGTTTTTTTATAGAGGGCATACAAAGCAGCATCAAGAGTATCTATCATTCACGCTGCAGCTTCCTCTTCATCGCGCCGCATCGCCTCTTCATCGAGTTCCCTGTACATTTCCTCGTCGATGGCATCGTCCGCTGCAAGAAGTCGCATCCGGGCCATACCCGCAAGCGCCTGCAGGGAGAGGAGAGGAGGGGGGGGGCGCGCACAGCCACTCAGTAAGAGAATCACCACAGAGCAGCGAAGAGAGCGCGCTCGCAATCGCACCCTCGCTGCGGATAACATTCGTCCTGTTCCACTCTAACACAGCACATGCGTGATCAAATAAAATTACCATTAAATAAATTACCCAAAGTCCGTTGGAGATAAAGGGTTGGAGGTTGGTCGTTGGAGGTTGGAGGTTGGGGTCACGAAACCCACAGTAGGCGCCCTTTAATCCCCCAGGCCCCGGAACCCCCGAGCTGCGCCCCCGACTGCGCCCAAACCC